CTAATGCCTAATGGCTACAAACACACACAGTGTGTTGGAACTTGAGCTGAAAATTAATCATCCTCCTCCCTTTTTTGGAAGCCGACCCGCCCAGTTACTGCGCATGCGCGAAACCACGTGGTAGCACGTGGACAAGTGGTTATTAGAGTATTTTATTAACTTGTCTGGTTATTAATAGTTATAAATTGTATCCGTATAACATCTAAACATCTCCGTATTCCTTAAAAGTAACAACTAACACGTGTTCTCGTGTAGGCCAAAGCAAAGACGGCGGGCAAAGATGAGCACTGTGGAGGCAAGAATAAATTTTCCAACTCAGAAAAACACTTTGCCTTTGCCGAAAACCGTTAAATATGGAGGCATCTCCAAAGACAGTCGTCTCGTTTGGTCCCTGGACGAATCCAACGATCTCCTATCCTTTAGTCACCTCTCTCTATTTGGAAAAGGCCTCAAAAAGTTCTCCCACTTCTCAACTAGAGGCCTTCAATTAGAAGCACACTGCAAAATAGAGCACGAGAAGAAGGAATACATTGTTTTAGTGTTTGCTGAGTCAGCGTCTCAAAGTCTCGTTCTGGTTTTCTCGTTAAAGTCTGGTCTCCTAGTCAGGGTATTGACTCTCCCTTTTCTTGTTACTGCCGTAGCTGATGTGAGTGGAGTGACCCTCCCTGTTGGCCTGTTCATGTCGTCTCCCCTCCAATCCTTCAGTGGGGTCATCGCCTGTGGGTGTGGTCAAACTGGACGAGTCGTTTTAATTGATCTGGTCCTTGCTCACTCTCATATTTGGCCCCGCCCTAATTTACAGTTCCCACGTAACGTGAAAATCCTCCCGTATACTGTTGATGATCTTCCCATTCACTCCACTAACAGTGTCAGAGATGGAGTCCATTTAGCTCTTGACATTAATGGTAGGCATTTACATGTACAGTATTAGATCTATATATTAATTTTTAAGACCAATTTAATGAGAGAATTTAGGAGACTTAAGCTAAATATGAGAGACCAAAAGCTAAAAATGAGAGATTTAGGGAGACCTAGACCAAATATGGGAGACCTAAACTCCCTCTAGATCTAACAGTATATATGTACAATAGTTATGGTGGGCGGTACCATTGAATAAGGTTTCTTTTATTTTTATAATTTAGGTCGTTATATAAAGCGTAGTGGCTCCTTGTTTCAGTATCCTGATCCCACGACTAGTAAACTCATTGGATCATTTGAAGGAGGTGAAGAAACAACACAGTCAAACTTTGGCTGCTGCTTTTTAAATTTATGCTCATAACTCGATAAATTTTAATAAGAATCAGCTCAAACTTGCTACATAGCTGAGTACATCAATATGTATCAGACAATGTAATAAAAATTTGACTCTTTCTCTTTCTCCTTCTAGTGTCAGTCACAGCTATTAGTCACTTCCCTTTAGCAGCTGGCCTCCTCGTTGGATACAGTTTTGGCGGTTTCCAGTTGTACAGTCTCCTTGACTCCACTCTCCTTTATTCCCTCCCTCTCCTTATGCGCCGTTTGCCTACCCCCGTCACTCACTTTGCTGTTCAAGAACCTGAGAACGATCCAAAGAACTTCCTATACGTTTGGGTATCTCGCAACGGCCCCAAGGCACAACATGTGTAAGTGGTGTACATGTACATGTATACTTTTTAGTGGGTGCAATTATGATCCTTCCAATCCTCTTCTTATAGTTTCGGTTCATCTCCTTCAGTCACTATGTACCAGATGGGTTTTAAGAAGAAGACTGACTACCATAATACAGTGTTATACCAAGTACAATTACAATTACAATTCACTTGTACTGTAGTTTAAATACATTTCTCGTACTTTTTGTACATTTCGTTACAG